TTTTTCAAGAAATAATAACTTTTAAAGAGAAGGAAATTTTTTTTCAGAATAAAATCGTTAATAGTTTGCACTGCAATGTTTTTGTTTATTTGATTTCGCAGTTGTTGTTTTTTTATTTATAACATTTCACAGGATTTTTTTAAATCAAGTTTAAATCTATAACAGATAAATCACAACACTTTATCACTAACAGAAGCTGTGATATTTAAAAACATTTTAAAAGTGCCTAAATCAACTGAAGGATCGAAAGCTTATAGAGCAAGAAACAGAAATAATTTGTTACAGAAAGAAAGAAAGAGAAGTTATGAAAGGCGACAGTTATTGACACCAAGAAAAGAAAACAAACAAAAAAATCAAGCGAAGGTTCACAACCAAAGGTTAAGAATGAAAAAAAAATTGATTTCAATACTAGCGTCAGTTTAAGTTCTACATCTGACAATTCTTATCACTGCAAATTGTCAATGAGAAAGGCATTAAATAAGGAGTTAATTATATAAACATTTTTTTTTTAAATATCATTGCTCTTGCTTAATTTGGGTTTTATATCAATCAACATTTTTAGAACAAAACATGCTTTTCCAAAGTCTCCAAATAAAAGACGAACTATTGTAGAGCAGTTGGGAGCTAAATATGGGCTATGTACTACTAAAGAAACAGAGCAAGTTCACTTTACATCAGAAGAAATTGAAAAAGTAAAAACTTTTTATGAAAGAGAAGGTATATCAATAATGTCTCCTGCAAGAAAAGATTATGTTAAAATTGGCAGAGAAAAAGTTCAAAAGCGCTACTTAGTTATGAATTTAAAGGAGCTGCATCAACTGTATTGTGAGGAGAGTGCTAGCAAAACAATTAAATTAAGTAAGTTTTGTGTATTAAGGCCTACATACATTCTTACATGCAAAGACACACCACTTGAAACGTGTGGTTGTGTTTATCACAGTAATTTTACTTATTTATGTGCTGCTTTAACAAGTAAAATACCTTTTCCATTGTATTGCAATAAATGGTTAGAAAATTATGTATTGTGCAAACCGCCTACGTACAAATGCTTCATTATGTTGTGATAGCAAATTATTAAGAGTTTCTTTGCCCGAAAACTGAGACTTGAATACATTAATTACCTATAGTTGGTGGATAAAAGAAGATCATCCCTTGTACTCAGTCAACATCGAAAAAACGTAAAAGATGTTTTTAAACATTTCTGCAACTATTTACCAGAGTTTATGAGCATCATCTCACTAAAAAGCACCAGTCTGAGCAATACGGCAGTCGAAAAGAAAATCTCAAACCAGACCAAATTTTGGTTTTAAAACCAAACTTCGATTATTTACAAAACTATACATGTGGTTATCAGGATGCTTTTCAAGCTGTTTATTAGTCGCAGTCGACTATTACCTTGTTTACAGTTGCAATCTACCGTTACTAATTAGAGCCAAATCAGTTGTAATAATCTGACGATAATGATAAAACAAAACGTGCCATTACTACATACTTAATTGAAATATTTGGCCTCTATTGCATAGATTATATAAAAAAAGTTATATTATGGAGTGATGGTCCTTGCACTCAATTCAAAAATAGATACATGGCCAAATTCATACAACATTGCACTGTTAAATATCATTTTCAGCGTATAGAATGGAATTTCTTTGCTACCTCTCACAGTAAAGGAGCAGTTAATGGAGTAGGAGGATCCTTGAAGCAATATGTTTGGAATAGCGTAAAATCTTGGAAATTTGTCGTCTTAAACACTAAAGACTTCCTCTTAGCATCAAATGGGTGCAAAACTTATGTTAGGCTTATCAAAACTGATAAAATTAATCTAAAGTGGGATTTAATAGCAAACAAAATAGTAGAAGCAAAAGCCGTTAAAAATATTATCAAAGTGCATTTCTGGCAAATAAAAAATGGAAAATTTTTAGTTTTAAAATTTTCTAACATTTTTTAATGTGTTTTTTTAAGACAAATATACTTAGTAAAAGAAATTTATTTGTCTAATATAATTATTTATTTAACATATGTTTCAAGCAGAAGAATAAAAGGGTATTAAGCATTAGCTGCTTAATCCAAATAAAAGTAATATGATCATGCCTAGTCATCATTATCATACCCAGTCATCATCATACCCGGATCACTTTACCCATTATAAATGTAATATGATCCCAGTGATAATGTTATAAAGTGCATATTTTAACATAACTTACTTGGTTTTTATAATCACTCATCTTTTTTACGCCATTCATTGCGCCATGCAATAAATTCAATAAATGCGCCATGCATTCAGTTGTTTTTCACTCTTAGCATTTTCGTTACGACCGTCACTGTTACGATCGTCACAACAAAAAATATAATAAAATTCTTGTAAAACGTCAAGCAAAAACTATGAAACTTAGCATATAGCAAGATTAATATGTAGTGAATGCACACAGCAAAGGATTTTTTTTTTCACCGCGTAGATGACTGCATAAAGATTGTCAAAGTTGATTTGTTTAGAATTGTCAAAAAAAAGGGGGTTACGATCGTCACACTACGTTGAGAAGATTTTTCCAATAAGTTGAAAATTTGAATACCTTAAATTTTCTGGAAAATTTCAAATCAATATCATTCTTATTTGACTTTTAATAGCTAAAAGAGTGTCAAATGTTACGACCGTCACTTGCGTGGAATTGCCCATATATATATATATATATATATATATATATATATATATATATATATATATATATATATATATATATATATATATATGTATATATATATATATATATATATATATATATATATATATATATATATATATATATATATATATATATATATATATATATATATATATATATATATATATATATATATATATATATATATATATATATATATATATATATATATATGAAAAAAGAGAATGAGAAAGCTATAGTAACTTCAGGACTGCATTTTCATTTTGCAGTTTCGTTAGATTATTAAGTTTAAATTTTGTTAATGTATTTGTCCAAGCTCTTTTTAGAAGAGTTTTTGCTTTGCTGAGTAACATATAAATATATATATATATATATATATATATATATATATATATATATATATATATATATATATATATATATATATATATATATATATATATATATATATATATATATATATATATATATATATATATATATATATATATATATATATATATATATATATATATATATATATATATAATTGAAATGTCTTTTTCTAAATAAGGACACCAAGCTGTAATAAAAAATTCTAAAAGCGGACATATATAAGTTGTATATAACTTTTTCCAGAGTTGTGCATCTCTGCTTTTGAAGCTGTGTTTCAGGATACCAAGCATTTTGTTAGTCTTTGCTGCAGCAATAGATGTTTGGAGATTTTGCTTTAGGTCATTGGAAATTAAAACACCAAGGTCCCTTTCTGATGAGGTTGATTCAAGTTGAATTCTGTTGAGACTGTTGTTTGAGCCATGGTCATCAATAAAATATTAGAGTGGAACGGATTTGGATTGGTTGTAGTGCATTATTTAACATTTTCTAATATTTATTTCCATAAGCCATTCTTGAATCCCAATTAACAATGTTGTTAATGTCAGCTTGCAGACAAATTTTTTGTTCTTCAGTGTTGACCACACTAAAGATTTTTGTGTCTTCTGCATACATTTTGCTTATATTTTTGCTACTAATTTGTTCTGGTAAATCATTAATGAATATATTAAAAAGCATTGGACCAAGAACTGAGCCTTGAGGAATGCCACTAGTAACTTTTTCCCATTCCAATGTTACGTTTCCAGTGTTTCTTTCAAATCGTACTTAAGTGTCCAACTCAAGTTGGACACTTGAGTACGATTTGAAAGAAACACTTTAATCCAGTTTAAAATTTTACATTCAACTCCATAGGATTTCAGTAGTCTTCTTTTGCAGCAGTCTAGTATGAAAAACTTGTGTGTCAAAGGCCTTAGCAAAATCTAGAAATGTCAACAGGAAGCTTACGTGATACATTGTAGGTTAAAAAGTTGATATTGTCAAGTAAATTAGTAACACAAGATTTTTTGTTTATGAAACCATGCTGACAATTTATTATAAGATTTTGAGACAATAGATGCTGTATTATCTTATTTTTAACTATTTTCTCCATTATTTTGCATGGCACAGAAGTAATGGAAATGGGTCTGTAGTTGTTTAGATTCATTTTAGAACCTCCTTTGAACAAAGGAGTCTTATTTGCTACAAACCATGCCTTTAATAACATCCCTTGTTCCATTGATTTTTAATAGATCATGGCTATTGTGTTAGAGTATGCCTTAAGTACATATACTTACATATAGATTTATAACCATCAAGAGTAACAAGGTGACTTGTTACTCTTGATGGTTATAATGTGACAAACAGACTCATATTCAAAGGAGATGTAATGAAGTGATACAGCTGTTCATTTAGTAAAAAGAGGCAAAGTTTGATTATGAGGTTCAATGGTAAAGTCAGATTGAAACTGTTTGTTTAGTGTGTTGGCAATAAAAACTTGGTCAATACTAATTTTACCAGTCATAGATTGTAATGACACAATCTGGTTGCTTACTGTGCATTTGCTATTAATATAAGCAAAATTTTTGGGGGTTTTTCGGGTGGAAGACATTGTTTGATCCATAAAAGTAAATACTTTCCTAAAACAACTTTCTAGACCATAGTCAGGTTAGCAACTCTAAAAAAAAATTTTATGACCTACCCTAATATATAATTAAAATATTTTAAACTCTTTAAATTTTTTAAAACCAGTATATAAAAGTTAATTTTATATAAAAACTTTATATAAAAGTTAATTAGAAAAAGGTAAGAAGGCTTCTGATTTAAATTATTACCTAAATGTTTTTATAAAAATTTCATATTTATGAGTTTCAAATAAAATAAGAAAGTATTTATTGTTTAATGTATAACTATACCACAAATTATTTTTGTGGTATAGTTTTATCTTCATCAATACATTTTTAATTTTAGATGTGATGACAATAAGTTAACAAAGTTTAAATTTAAATGGGTGTTTGATGATAACAAATCAGGTAATTTTTCGTAAAGTATAACAATGTGCAAAGGTGCTTTAAATTAGATAAATCTTTAAGATATTAAACAAAACAAAACTCTAGGTAGCATGTAAAAGTTAGATAAAACTTTAAGAAGACAAAAAACTAGGTAGCGTGTAAAGGTTACTAAAAATACATGTTATTTTTATTAAATAAACAAACAAAAAGATTAAAAAGAAAAAATCAAATAAAAAGATATAAGGATTTTGAGATTATTCAGCTAAATCAACTTTTAGTCGATTAGTAGAAAACCCATAGTCAATTGAAACCAAATAATCGATTTTTTAAAATCACCTAATTTTGATAACTCCATTTTTAGTTGATTTATTCAACATTTAATGACATTAAAAATATATGTGTAAATACTTAATATTCAAAATCATGTTTAAAAGTTTATACTAGATAAAAACACGATTAGATTAGGTTTTCCCCTTTATAAAAAAACCTAAAGCATTTTAGTTCAATGGGCCTTTGACAAAATAATTTTTTTAATTAAACAAAGATTACTGCTTTTTGGCTTTTGTTTTTTTAATTTTCATTAAACATTTAATTTTCGTTTACTGTGAAACCTAATGTATTTTCACTACCTCTTAATAAATCCAAAAAAATTATAATTAATTAATTAATTAAAAATAATTTTTGGTTTTAAGATGTTATTAGCGAAACTTTTGTTATTTTTAATTGGTTATAAAAGTTTGGTTTAATTTATAAAAATATGAATTTTTCAATATAAAATTTAACAGTAAATGGAAAACCCCAAACACAAAAACATAACATTTATAATACGAGTTTGAAAGAGCTTTTTTGTATTTATGTCATTTGTTAACTCCAAAAGCGCATTAATCAGACCAGTATTTTTTTTTTAAATCATAGAGCCAGAAATAATTTATTCAAGCATGTTTTATTCTTAAGAGTTTTAGTACATGATGCCATTGATTTTTTTGTTTGTTTATATAATTGATCTTTTACACAAACAAAAATGACATCATGTACTGAAATGACATCATGTACTGAAATGACATCATGTACTGAAACTTCTTGAAAAAAAGCGGACTTGAATAAATTATTAAGTCTATAGATTGCATCGTATATTATGCTGACTTTTTGGCCTACAACAAAACTGAGAAGGCAAGAGTTGACCTAAATTAAAAAGTTAGTTTTTCTTGGTATGCATTTATTCTTTTGTTTTAATCAAAAAAATTTAGCCCAAACATTTTTTTATCATTCTCTTTAATATGAACACAACATGACTCGGATGTTTAATATTCCTTTAAAGTAATTAGTATATTAAAGTAATTAATATATTAAAGTATCTGGGGTATTAGAAGATCAGCCATATCTGGGGCGGATCTTCTAATAATACCCGTTCTCTTTTAGACAAGGTGCAATTAATATGTTAAATTAATTAATATATTAAAGTATTTGGGGCATCATTAGAAGATCCGCCATATCTCGGGCAGATTTTCTAATGATGCCCTTTATCTTTTAGGCAAGGTGCAAAAACGCATTTGAAACATAGTTGGACCTTCTCTTGCAGCCAACCTTTAACCATTATTACATCATCTTAATGTTGCTTTTCTTTCTCTTATCTATAAATACTATAATGGGCACTGCTCTAAAGAGCTAGCATCTCTTGTGCCATCTACTAAAATTTATTTTTGTGTTACTCGTCATTCAATTAAGTCTCATGCTTTTTCTGTGACTGTTCCTAAGTGCACCAAAAACTCTTATTTGTCTAGTTTTTTTCCTCAAACATCAATTCTTTGTAATTTGCACCCTTTATCTTGCTTTCCTGATTCATATAATTTGCAATCTTTTAAGTCCTCTGTCAATCATTAGTGGTTGCTTGCAGCCTTGTTGGAAGAAAAAATGTTTAAAAGAAAAGGTGTAATTATTATATTAAAGTAATTAATATATTAAAGCAGGCCTTGTTATGAGATTTTGTTGCGTAACGGAAAAGCGTAACACAAAAAAATGTAACTTTACTCAATGAAATTTATCTTTAACATCTTTAAATTAAACAATATTGTTACAAAAAAAATTATAAATAAAATTTAAACGCTGTTAAAAAACAAAAACATTTCCTTGTTTTAAAATCTTGTACTTATTAAAACTTAGTTTTTTTTCTTTAAAACATTCATTTTATGGTTTTTTTTTTTTTTAAATGAGGGAACACTTGTTTATGATTGAATTTTTTGATAGGATTTAAATGTACATGCCACAGTTTTTTAAAGGGTTTACACAACTATACAATAAATTGGGTTTTCCTCTTTATAAAAAAATGTTTGTGCTGCCTAAAACATTTTAGTTCATCTGGCTTTTGACAAAATAAAAATTGTAATTAAACAAAGATTACTGCTTTTTTTTTTTTTTTTATTTCCATTAAAATATTTCATTTTCATTTATTGAGAAATCTTAAAAATCAAAAAAAAAACTAGAGCATTTTTTTTTTTTTTAATGTTATTAACAGAACTTGTTTTTAACAAATATCAGTATAATTTTGAAGTTTTCATTTCTTATATTTATAGCACTAGTATTAGTTTTGTTTTTAAAATAAAATAAATATAAGTTGGGTTTTTAAAGTGTTTACTTATTGATCGTGTTATTTTTATTTGGTTATAAAAGTTTTGTTTTTTTTTAAAAAAAAATGGTGAAGTTCTTCTACAATTTAACGTCAAAAGAAAAACCCAAACATAGCATTTAAAATGAGTTTGAAAGAACTTTTTTGTATTGATGTCATATATTAAATACAAATGTGTAAGTACAAAAGAGCCGGAACTTATCTTTGAGAAAGAAAAAAAAAGGCGCTAAAATTTATAAAGTTTTTCACTTTAATGGTCAAAAAATAAATAAAAACTGTTAACCTTTTTTTAACATTTCAGCTTTAAGGAAATCTTTGCATAATACTCATAAACTAGTTGATCATTTTTAATCGATGTTCAGTCTATGATCAATTCAAAAAATTATTCATAAAGAAAAAGTTTTAGTTAAAAAAAATGCAAAATAAAATTTTATGTAATACGAACATTTTAAAGTAACTTGAATTAAATTTATTAAATTTTTCCAAATTATTTCCCAACCACTTATTCTATTGTTTATTGGTTTAGTTGACTGGTTTTTTAAAAATGTTGCAACGCAACAGAATTTGCTAGAAACATCTTTTTAAAAAAATCAAAGATATTGCTATAAGATGAAAAAGATAGAATAAAGAAGATTGCGATATTTAACTTTTATTGAGCCTCAAGGGGATCAAACTGAGTAAACTGAGTTTCTATCATCAGAACAAGTGAGGTCTCTTCCAGTGGCAGATCCAGGGAGGGAAGGATGCTTACTTCCCCCACCCCCATCCAATCACCCCACTAGAATCTGAAAGTCCAGAAATATCTAAGAAATAGAGGACCTTTTTTTTTAGGAGATACAAAGGTGATACAAAATTCAAAAATATTTCAATTTTATGTATTATCTTATTATACTTTAGTAAACATTTTAGATGAATACAAGCTAAGAACTTATATAAAGGGTCTGTGCTCTGAGACAGCTGCAATTAATACAGGAAAACATTCTGGCACAAACATTTGGTTCTGTTAAACATAGGATTCAATTATATTACAGCTTTCATGTCGAAGACAGGTTTACAAACTTCACTGTAAACATTTTTGGGAAAAGGTGCACATTGTTAAAACTTATGCTCCTGAAAATCTGTTGTTTAAAGTTTTCCAAGTTAGTTGGCTTGCCAATTTAATATTTTCCAAGAGGTGATTATAAGGAACTTGTAGAACTTACACTCACCTACTTATGTCCAGATATAAGCTTTAACGTTTATGCTCCGGGATCAGTTTCCCATTCATGTTTTATATCAAAGTCTATATAATATCTTGAAATTCAAGTTTTAAGTAATCTGTTCCCCTACCAATTGACAGCTTGTTTACAAAAAGAATTCAGTTGAATGGCAGAATTTATTTCTATTTTTTATATTGTGTGGATTGTGCGATCCTTTTTAGTTTTCTTTGCACCTTTTCAAGATATAAAAGCATACTGGCAAATGGTCCAGTTTAAAAGTTAAGTAGAATCTTATGATTCAGAAGCTAATAATGTACTAGAGGGTATTGAAGAAATATTGAAATCAATGGAGAGAAATACAGGGTATTTGGATCAATTGTTGATTCCATTATGTCTCGTAAATAAAGAACTCAAAGATGAAGAGAAAGAAAAAGTTGAAAAAGTTCTAATATCAACCTGTTCTTAAACTTATCAGAAGTCTTAAAATCCGACCCTTCTGAAAGACCTAGGCTTCACCCAGGAGAAACCACCTAGCTTGTCACAGTTGGTTGGTTGGAAATCGTAATTTATATTTAGACTGTTAAATTTGAGGAAAGACCATGATAAATCTTGGCTGAACTGTCCTTAATCTTTTTGGGGCAATTAAGTGCAATTAAGCTTGTGTCAGAGTTTGTTAACTCTGTTCACAATGAAGCAGACAGGCAAGATATAATGTTGGCCATTCAGCAAAGTAATGATCAATTCAGAGAGTTCAAAAAAGTACAAACAATGGAGAATGGAAAAAATATATAATTGTTGCTGACAAAGCATAACTTTGGAGTATTTATTAGATTTTTCACCAAAAACATAAAAAAGTTTGTTGAGTTATAGTTTTAAAACTGTTTTTTAATTTATCATTGTTGACCTTAACAATATTGTTATATATTTTTCTAAGCTGAAATTTAATTTTTTTACCTCAACTATCCCACAGCTAGCCCTCCTATAGAGGTTCCCTATATTATAATTTATTTGTAAGATTGACTTTTGGCTTAAATTAATTTTCGTAAACAAGACTTTGATAAAATTTGTCACGGAAAGTTTGAGGTATAAAAAAATTGGTCAATTGATATATCCAAAAAATTACCTAAAATTAAAATGTAACGCCCATTTTACCAGGGTCAAACCAAAGCACTTTTTAAAAAAATTAATTTTCAAACTCCAAATAAATATTTAAACTTTTTAGGGTTTATAGGAAAAAAAAATTAGTGTTTTATTTCAACATATAAAGGCCCGCCCTTTTTGGTTAAAAAGGTGGGGGTTTTGGGGCACATATTGTAAAAGCCCCTGCTTTGACCTTGGGGATCTTAAAAATGGGTTTCAAAATTTTATTTTTAGTGTAACTTAATAAGACTTTGTTATACTAAAAATCATATTTATTTTAATATAAATTTAAATTATCATAAATAAAAATTCATAACAATCAATTATAAAGTAGAATGTTGTTGATAAATTATTATAAAACAATCATTGGGAGACCAGTGACCTTAATAAAAAAAACTATACTGTCGATATACTAGTTAATGATATGATCTATCTATATCTGCTTAACATATCATCCAGTAATATTAAAAGAATGTAGTATTAAAGCTAAACTAAAGTATCTGTGGGAAACTACAGTTAGCCTTGGAAATAGAAAAAAATTAATAAAGAATAATTTCATTACAAAAATCGACAAACTCATTGGCATTTTATTCTGTAAATGTTTAATAACGTTTTGCTCAGAGTATGATTGTGATCAAGGCTGGCACATATTGTACTTGAAAATAGAATCTCTGTTATAGGACTCAGCTTCAACAAGTAACAGAGAGACAAAGTTGGAAGTTTTTCACATTACTATATTGGTGGAGTTGACACAATAGAATCAACAAAAAGAAAAGAGAAAAGAGGAATATCAGCAGCAATTAAAAAAGAGAGTTAAAAAATTTAAAAAAGAAGAAAACCTCAACCAAATGATTACAGAAGATTATAATTGCTTTGCATAGATTAATCAAATAATAATAAATAATGTTTGTTAGTAAATAATTCTAATATAACTATTTTCGAGAATTTAAATTTTGATATAGTGATTTATAAAAATATCTCATCTTTTTTTATTTTTTTATAAACCTTTAATTTAATAATAATAACAAAAAGATTCCTTCTTAGTTTTTTTTAGATTGAAAAAACAAGAAAAGCTGACTCAGAACCAAAAATTTCTAGAGAACCAAAACCTTCCAATAATATTGTAAAAATTTATTACAGAATGGACATAACAGACATTGCACTTGCTAGAATGAGGCATCACACTAGCTTATGAGAAACCACAGAAATAGTGACAGCAGCACTTATAGATGCAAAAATTATCACAAAGAATGATACATTGATGATTATTGATCACAGCAAGGTTAAAAGGGCGCAAGAGAAGTTAGCAATCGAATTAGATAATAAATTTAATAAAGATCTTGAAAATAATGTGGTTTCCTGTATATTTTTTGATTGCAGGAAAGATAATTCAAAAGTATTAATGGAGTTTGATGGTAGGTATTTCCCTGGTCTTCTTAAGGAAAAACATTATTCTGTAATTACTGAACCAGGTGTTAGATACTATTTCATTTTGTTCCTGATAAGACTGATCACAGAAAATATGCTGAGGTAATTGCATACCACTTGGTTAACTGGTTGGTAAAAATAAATTTAGGAACACAACTAAAAGCTGTAGGAGTAGACAGTATGAATGTAAATACTGGTTGGTAAAGTGGTGTGATACAATGGGTGAAAAGAAAATTGAGAAACAAATTAGTGTGGATTGTGTGCGATCTTTACACAAACGAATTAGGGTTAAGACATTTAATTATAATTTAGACAACCCAATAAAATGTAGAAATAAATGGTCAGGACTACTGGGAAAGATGTTAAATACAGCAACAAGTCTTGAAATTAATCCCAGGTTTACAAAAATTGATGTTGGGCGTGCATTAATTGTTCTTAGTCCTGAAGTAATAAAAGGTTTAAGTACTGATCAGAGCTATGCTTACAGAATAACAAAAGCAATAAGATCTAGTGATTTACCTCAGCAGTTAGCAATGCTAGAAATAGGAAATAAATGCTAGACCTGTTTACCATAGCAGGTGGCTCACAACAGCATTAAAGTTTTGCAGGATATGGGTTGATATATCTCAGAATGGCCTAAATGGGATCAACTTTCAAAATCTTATATGGATTGTGGAATTTATTGTTGGTGTTTTATTCCAAACTGATTTAACATAAAAGTTGAATCATGTTGGGTTAAGGAACCAAGATACATTTTATACCAATAAGAACTCCTCAGAGGAAATTACAAATACTTTTAATTGTGGGCATTACAACATCAAATTCTTGATGTTGTTATGCCCACATTTAAAAGATCAGCTTGGTACTCGCATTCAGAAGCTATTTTACAAGCTATATGCGGTAGTGGTAAGAGCGCTCGCTTTGTAAGCGAGAGGTTCGGAGTTCGACTCCCATCACGTCCCTGGAAGTACCGTGCTCAACTTAATTTCTCCGCGCAGCAGCCTTGCTTGTCAAGGTTCGTGTTTCGGAGTTAAAGAGTTGAGAGAGGGTTTGTACCACGATTTACAAAAAAAAAAAAAAAATGAGTAGCCTCCTTGACTGTAGTGGCCCCCTCGGGCCTTGGGGAGGGGGTGAACACGGCTGTTTCAAACCGAGCTTAACGGCTTCTTGTTATTTTTTGAAAATATTGACTTAAGGAGTGTTACTAAAATTTCTATAACTTTTAAAATATTAAAGATAATTTTGTTTTGTAAAAAGAATAAAAACACCAATAAAATGTTTCATCTTACGACATTTAATGCATTAGTAAAAAAACTTCTTTAAGTTTTAAGAAAACGAGACAAATGATGAAGTTGGCTGAATTCAAGTAATTTGATGTTACTTTTTATCAAAAAAAAATCAGAAAAATTTATTTCTGATAGTTATTCTCAAATATACCCATTGTTTGACTATTATAAAAACAAAAAAACCTTACTTAATTGTTTAAGGATAGCTAAAACAGACTTTATTGAGGTCTGAAAACAAACCGCACTTTTTTGCAAAGTTATAAAAAATGTAGTTAAAAGGGGGATTAGCTGTTAAAAGAGTACATTTTTAAACCTAGGAGTTTTTGTTTTAGAAACAATTTTTCCTAAGCCAATAAATTCATTGCATTGCAAAATAAAGCCAGATTTTGATTTTGGAATATTTAGTCAAAACATTTAAAGCTTAAGGATTTATTTTTTTCTGTGCATACAGTTCTAATAATATGGTGTTAAGTTGTTAATAAATAAAGACTCACCAAGTCTAATAAAATAATTCATGACCAAATTTGAGTTTAAGTTTTTGAATTAATCTCGCTTTTGGTAGTAGAATTATTTTATAGCACTTAAATCTATAGTCTCTTCTCTCAGTAAATAAAGTGTTTGAATATACAAATAGCTAATTGAAATCTTTTGAAAATTTGTTTTTATTCCCATTAAAAACTGTTTTATAATCAGTTGGTTTACTGACAGGTTCTTTAAGTAGTAAACTATCTTTGTACATCCAATTGATATCAGATTCATACTCATGCTAAACCAGAAAAACAATTGCTCCACTCAAAATTTTGATAACGTTTACAAATTCTTAATTTATTGAACTAAATTTTTACACCAACTTGATATGAGATTTATATTCCATTCTTTAACCAGCGAGGAGGTATGTAGAACAGAGGTACTGCAAAGGTAGAACTAACTTCTGGTGATAAACATCGAATGGATATGTAATATATCTATAAAAAAATGTTACATATAATGAAGGACAATTCATTTTTTAAATTAAATACACAAACATACAAGATCATACCCAACCAACATACCAGTTGCTCTGATCACAATTTAATATATAGATTTTTACATACATTTGATGTATGTAAAAATCTATATATTAACAGCTAGATTTTTACATACATTTGATGCAAGACTAGTATTCCATTCTTTAACCTGAGCGAAGGTATTGCATAGGTATAAATAACTTCTGAAGATAGGAACAGAATGGGCACCTACCTAATATATAAAATCAATATATTAAAAAATAATATTTTAAACTAACATTACACAGATATTAGAACAGAATAAAATTATCTTATATATAAATTAAAGATCTCATATAATTTATCTTACTTGTAAATAGTTCGTTGTTGTTGTTTTTAATTTTTTAAATATTTTAACTAAATTTGATGACCACAAACAAGACAAAGACCTTGTCTATAAAATGAATTTTCGCCACGCTCAGAACACACTTTCTTACCTTAGAGACTTGAAGCTTCCTATCAGCTTTGCTGTGCAATTCAAAGCATTTTAAAACAAAATGCAGCTTCTGCTCTTAATTTCTTACTGAATGCAACTGTCTTAATTCCTTATTTACGCTATTATGCAAACACTCTCTCTCCTCTTCACTTAGCAACCCAATAGTTTTATGGAATTTTACAAATGGTGCATTTTTCGAGTAATACTTTTATTTGGAAAGCAAGCATGAAACTCAATAGCAAATAAATTTATATATTGATGAAGCTCAGTAATTTCGGTAATGCTAAACACTCATACTTCTCAATGTCACACAATACACTCTGTTCCGAATCACCAATAATTTCACAAAATTGATGAAACAATTTTTGGCACGTACCACACTGCACCCAATCAATGTTACAATCGTATTTTGTAATGTTGAATTCTTGTCTTGTCTTAACTTGGGTTCAGATGGGAGAATCCTTGCACCAAGATTACACAGAATACGTCTTAGTCTACGGAATTCAGCCGTGGGCATCCTTAATTGGCTCTGTAGCTTTACAGCATCAGAAACACTTAACTGCTTAACTAAACCCAACTTATTTGCAACACAACAAAATATTGACTTTTCACAAGACATAGAATCACAAAACAACATAGACAAATCACTTTCTAAATCTGAACAAGCTAATAATCGAAGGAATAAAAAAGCAAGTTTAGATGGTCTAGCTGCAGCATGCCTACCTAACTTAGAATAAGGTTTACCATTACCTAACTTAATGTAAGTATATTTTTTACTATTGGCTCTTTAACTGATATATTCTGTGGATTACTTAATTTAAACCCACAAAATTCAGAGTAACCAATGTTGTCGTAGTCTAAATAATAATCAATCACAACTAAATCCTTATCGCTACTAGCAAAACATTTGCAAATTTGGCAACTGTTCTGGCTTAAATCACTAATTTTTGTAATTTTTTTTCAATATTAATTTTTTTTAGCAATCTTACATTTTTAGCACAAGCAGATGCAAATTTACGCTGTGCTGTTTTAATTTTTTTTTTTTTTTTTAAGTTGGAACTGCTCCTCCTGTTTTAGCCTAATACTCATAGTCTCTAATTAAGAACTTAATGAGTTACAATGTGTGTTGAGAGCCCTAGTTTTAGAATTTAAATCTGTAATTTCAGCTTCCAACTTAAATACTTGCATTTTAAATTTTTCTATTTGCTCCATATTTGTTTTATTTTCAGAAGTTAATTGATCAATTTGATTCAGTAGCTCCTCACTGTCATTTAAAGTGAAAAAGTCATCTGCATCTGCTGATTTTTTTTTTTTTTTGGGTGGAGCTTGCGACAGTTGCATTTTAAAAAATTCTTCGTTTTTTTATAGCTTTAAAATTTTTTTTTTATTTCTTTTTTTGGCGTGTTAACTTTAGGCACATTTTATCAAACTCGTTATTACTAGGCATATCAAAATCAATTGGCGAAAGAAAACTCATAAAACTAAATAAATCACTTCTTATTTTAAAGACAATGTCTTTAAAATGGAAATGACATTGTTACTGATCTTATCTGTCCTAATTAATCGCTTAACAAAAGGAAAGTTACACCTATCTTCCCAACCATTTTTCCATCCAATATGTTGTTTTAGAATTTCCCTCTCAGTTGAATACATAGTTATCAAAATAATATTGACTTATTAATCAATATAATAAAAACAAATAAAATAATATTAACAAATATATGCACTAGATAAAAGTGGATTTAACAACTTATCTGATATTAGTTTGATAATCCAAAGAGAAAAATTCCGCATAACTTTGTTTACTTTATACTTCAAAAATTGACTCGCCGAAACAGCTGTTTGGAGAATATTCGTTAATAAATAGTTTGGGACGTAACGCATAAAGGTTACGTCATCGCAAAAAAACGTCAACAAGATTAGTTGTAAAACATGACATTTTTGAAAACATATTTCATAACTTAGCTGAAGGCATGTAGAATAATTTTTTTATTTTCATTTGCATAAAAAGTTGAAATTTCATTAACTTACGTCATCCATCAAAAAAGTTACGTTTTGCATTTAAAAATGATCAATTAAAAAATATAAATGCTTTAAAAACAGTCTTTTTGTAAAAAAATCTCTTGGATGACGCATGAATCTGATAGAATGGACATTTAGGGTTAAGAGTTCCAAATTTTAACTATCAAGCACAGAGCTATGTTATGAAATCTTAGTTGGCCCAACTCATGTTTTCCGGAAAATATACGAAAATTAGAAAAGTGGTTCTAAATTATTAAAAATATTTTGGCAAACTTTATTTTTATACCAATTAATGTAAATATTTATTTAACAAGGAAAGATAGATCTTTTATATTTTTTTAATTGAAAGATGAAAGCATTTATATATAAAAAGTTACTATTAATTTAAAGTTTTTGAACTTTTATACTTTTTATGCGGAAATACTTTTTTTTTTGATAAACTCATGACGTCACGCTCGTTTTTATATTGAGTGAATAATTTAAAAAAAATATATATAAAGTAAAAAGAGTTCAAGCTGTGGAAATTATTCTTAAGCTTTGTGAAAAATATCACAAGCAAACTAATACTGGTGTTTATATCCATAGACATTGAAAAACACCAGATATTATCATTGATACTAAAAATCTTTTTAGTTTGACAGACTGGAGCAGTAATATAACAGAACCACTTTTGACATGCAATTTTACATCTTCGGATATTAAAGATTTAATTAATAGCCCCATGATTGTTCCCCAATGGAGTTCACATACACAATCAGTTAAGAAGTGTGTACAGCTAGTCACAGAAGCTGCAGGACATGTTTACACATTAGAAAGAATAGAAGATTACATAAGAGTTATTTTCGTAGACAAAAATATGTGCCTAAAATGAATTTATTTTATGAGAAAGCTTGTATTATAAAGATAACAAAAATTATAGGGCTATCTAACAATAGGGCGCCAAACTGCCCCAAGTGTAAGAAGGCCTAAAATGTATTTTGGAACAAAATATAAGGGTTTTTAGAAGAATATTGTTACATATTTTACACATATAAGCAGAATTTTTCAAATTTTTTCTTTACATTGCAATAAATAGAATACTTAAAATAATTAAAAATAAAACTGTTCGACTCCAGGCAGAAAAAAGCTCTTTAGAGCAGTGCCGAATATAGTATTTGTAGAAAAGAGAAAGAGAAGCAACATTACGACGATGTGATTATGGTTGGAGGTTGGCTGCAAGAGCAGGTCCAACTATGTTTACAATGCGTTTTTGCACTTTGTTTAAAAGAGAAGGGGCATCATTAGAAGATCCACCCCAGATATGGCAACAGTATTCCATACAAGGCTGGATTTGAGATTTATAGAGATAGAGAATAATCAATTTTATGTGTCATAAATCAATGAACTTTTGCTCAAAAAAAATGAAAATGTTTTTTTTTTGTACTGATTAATTTTGAAAAAAGGTCACCCACTCCACAAAATTTTTTAAAGTAATGTATAAGTATTATTTGTAGTAGCATTATGACTTTCTGAAACCTAAATTTTTTTTGAACCATATGGAATTTTCTGGACTGTTTTGGCTGTTTTCAGAAATCTCTGAAACTTTTTATAATTTTTTCAATAAAGCAAGAAAGAAGTAACAAGTTTATAACAAAAGAAAATAAATTTTCCACATTTATCTTATCAACTCAAATTGTACAGACAAAACGGGATCAAGTGCTGAAGATGGATGGCAAATGAGTAAAATCATGAAAATACAATCCATTGAATGAAGTTTTTGATATCACAGAAAAAGATGGTGATTGGCTCTGAAGTGAGGAAAAAAAATTGTATCATCTTCAAATTGAAAGCAAAGGACAGGTTGTGTATACAACTGGGAAACTATCTATCCATCTGAAAGAAGAAAATGTCTTTGAAACCTACTTCACCAATAGTAACAGCAACAGCAACAATGTCAACATTGATCAATTTAAGTTTGTGGCAGAATATTAAGAGTTTGAAGATCAGAAGAATAATCCACAAGGACCAGCAGGAACTTAAGCAAAACAAAAACTGCAACCAAACTAGTAACATCTTCAAAGTTATCCACCAGCAAAGCAGTAACCATTTGTTGGCAGTTATCTCAAGATGGGATTGACATTCAAACATCTTCACAGTCTAGTATATTCAGATCAACTGCTAAAGAAAAAATAAAAAACCAAGAATATCAAGTGTTAGTTTAAAAAAATAAACAAATAGAAGCGAAGTTACAAGCACTAGATCTACCAAATGGAAAAGCAGATACTGTTGTTAAAAGTAAACAGCTGTTCTTAATGAACAATATTTGTGGAAGAGTATAAAGATAACTGCAGCAGATACTATGTAAACACTGGAAGAAAAAGCAAGACTGTTAATCATTTTACTAAAAAGAAACTAGAAGAACCACAATTCAATGGTTGTCAACATCATGTTGTTGACTAAGTCCTTTGTGTATTAATGAATGAAGAACTTGGAAATAACACGTCGTCTAATATTGAATACTTGTTTATCCCAGAACCTGTAAAGAACTACGAACAGCTCAGAAAGAACTTCAAAAATGGTAAAGAAGTGGTTACTAAAACAGCAGGATAGCTTGATGATATGAAGTTTTTAATTTATTTGGCTTATAGTGGTATTTGGCTTTTTTGAAGAGTCCTGGAGTACTTACTAAAGTTTCAGGAAGTACTTAAATTAAGTTATGCAAGATGGAATTCTCGAGCAATTCTTGCTCATTTATCATTTATTCTTCTACCAGAGGCTTCTACCAGAAGAAGACATTCGCTACTTGACATTTGTCAAGTAGTGAACCTCTACCATTGCTTTACTGACCAAAATGTACAATGCAGATGATTATAGGAAGCAAACTTGCATGGTCAGAAAAAAGCATTAAACTCAGTGAAAAAATTGATTGTCTAAAAGTTACAAAGACATTTTCATGAAAAGAAACTGGAATAACCACAATTCATTGGTTGTCAGCATTATGTTTTTGACCGAGTCCTTCAATTAGTAATGGATGAAGAACTTGGAGGAAACAACTTGCTGCCCAATATCGAATAGTCATTTATCCTGGAACTTGTAAAGAACTAGTAAGTGATTATTGAAACAGCAGCATGATGTGATGATATGAAATTTTATTTCATTTAACTCAGGTAATCTTGTTTTTTTCTGGTAGCCTTATTTTATATATATATATATATATATATATATATATATATATATATATATATATATATATATATATATATATATATATATTGTATTTTCAACATCAGTTTATTTAATAATTTAATAAATAAACTGATGTTGAAAAGGAATTAAATTTTTTAATAAGTACATATAAAGGCAACCTGATAATAAAAAAAATTATGATGATACTCCATCATAAGTTTTGATTTATTAAGATGATTAAAAAGTTTATGGACTTCATATTCTGAATTAAAGATAGTCTTCCATATACTGTTTGTAAAAAATTGATATTGAAGAGGGTCAACTATTAACCCATGTTTGTTTATGAAATTCTATGAAAATATTAGCTAAAATGGACTCTAACAAAGAAAATGTTAAAAATGTTATCTGTTTAGTTGTAATAATTTGAGTCAAATAGAAAATGAGAACCAGAAGTAGTGTTGTGACCAAAACTAAAAATTGAAACTAACTAAACTAAAAAAACCGTAACTAAAATTTGTCGACTAACTTTTTAGTTAACTAAAATTACCTGACTAACTTTTTAGTTAACTTATATTAGTCGACTAACTTTTTAGTTAACTTAAAATACCCAACCAACTTTTTAGTCAAACTAAAATTACCTGACAAACATTTTAGTCGAACTAAAATTACCAGACTAACTTTTTAGTCGAACTAAAATTACCAGACTAACTTTATATATAACTAAAATTAACCGAATAAGTTTTTAGTTAACTAAATTTATCCAACTTTGTTTTTAGTCCAACTAAAGAAATTTATAAATATATAATATAAATAATTTGGGTTCATGATATTATTTCTATTAGAATTTTTGAATAAGTTTGCTAATACATGATCATTTTACTGCATAATACCGCAAAAATAAAAAAATATCAAAATAATTTTTTTTCAATTCCAAAGGTTTAACAATATACTAAATATTTCATAAAAAATCCAAAACTAAACATGGTAAAACACAAATATCTTTAGAAATGAATAAGCTACCAAGGCCAGCGCAAAGAGGTGAGGGAATGGGATAGTTGGTTTTGTGTGTGACATCCCATCAATGAACTTTTAGCTCATTTAGTAAGCCAATTTGACTCTTTTAGATAGGTAAGTCAGCAAATGTATATTTTCAGAACAGTCACTTGGTAAATTTGAAAAAACAAGGATTTTCTTTCATTTTTCTAGTCAGCAAAAATTTTAACGGCGCTCTCTACGTTTTACCTACTTGTGAGCTAGCCCTGTAAGCTACAGTATATTACAAAAATTTGTTTTTATTATGTGCCATTTTTTTGGATCTAAATTATTAAAGTTTTCAATTCTTTGAAAAATATGAGAAAAAAGAAATATTTAAAATGTGTTAGAGAATTTTTGTTGGAATTTCATTTAAAAAAAAAGTTTGTGACAATCAAATCAAAAAAATTTAAGTTATTATTTGACGATGAAGATGATGATTCCGGAAATGATAGTGACAAAATAATAAGTTTAGATTTAAAAAAAGAAATTAGTGGTTATATAAAATTGTCAGTAAATAAGCAAATGTTTTTACACTTTTGGCATCAGAATCAACATGTGTTTTCAATATTGTATTGTAGTTCAACAATGATTTAATGTTTGCCTGCTACCAGTGCACCAAATGAATGCCTTTTCTCTGACGCATTAAACACTTTGTATGAAAAGCAAAACAGAATGACAAATGAATGTTTTCAAATGTTGAAACACACCCCCGTCAGTACAGTTTTGACCTGGGAGATTATTCTTGATGTGCGATTATTATTTCACACTACCTATAGGACGCAGCACATAAAAAATATAAGTTTAAAGCGTACCAAGTTTGATTTAATAAAAAAAACTAAAGGGTGTTATTTGTACATTTCATGCTGATTAGGTATCTATTAGCAGTTGTAACAACATCATAGGCAGTTGTCTCTGAGCTGGGGAAAAATAAAATTAATCGAATTTTGTTAAAAACATTTTTTTTTAATAACAGTTTAATTTGACTGGGCTCTAAGATTCACAATTAGTAAAGTGTTTAATTATGATAAAATAATATCTAATTGCCTTAATAAAGCGTCGTGTGTAAAATTTTTATGCTTAAGATTATTTCTTTTTTCAAGCACTAAATCTTGCTAATTTCAACTATATTTACTTACACTAAATATTTAGTCTACTAATTTGAGTTAACTAAAAAGTTAGTTGATTAATTTATGTTAGACTAAAATGTTAGTCAGGTAATTTTAGTTAACTAAAAGGTTAGTTGACTAATTTTAGTTGAACTAATAATTTAGTTGGGTCATTTTAGTTAGGCTAAAACTAACCTTAACTCCCACCCCTAACCAGAAGTTAAAATCTGAAACATTTTTCTAAACTGACTTTTAGAAAAGGTAAATGGAGACATTTAAGGATAAAGTAATTCGACATGGTTGTAGTTGTATGTCTTATTTGTTATAACAGTTAGAGTTAAAGTAGTATCTGCATATGAAGGAGATCAAATTTTCTCATCAACATTGTCACCATCTTATTTAAAAATTAAAAAATGTTTTTGAGATTCTTGCATGTTGTAGCTTGATCTTTTATTTTTTCAGGTTTCAAGTTTTCTCTGAGAATTATATCATCAACATTCATTTCTTGTTTGGCTGTTTATATAGTATGAAATATATATGATTTTTTTTTAATGCTTTAACTAAAGTTAATTTTTTATATGCTGTATGATTATTATTATTATTTTTATTATTTTTATTTTTATAATTAATTATAATCATAATGTACTTTTGAAGCTTTATTGTTAGTATTTTATATTATTTTTATTATAGATTTTTTAGTTTATAGTATGAATTTGTAAACATGACAATCTTATGTACATATTTACTAATCATATTTAATCTCTTCAAATTTACAAATTTTAAATTTACTAGATGAAAATTAAAACTGCTTTAATTTTCATTCGTTGTTAATCTGGAGTTAAATTTTATTCAATTTTATACTATTTTTTTGCAGTTGTAATAAATCTTACAGTTCAATTGATAATAATCTTCCTTGTGCTAATTTTATGTTACTTGGTATTTATTACATGACATTGCTTCCAAGTAAAATATATCAAATTACTTGATATTACAATTATTATTGATGGATTATAATCCATCGTTCACTCTATCATTAATCCATATTTAGTTCCTTTTTCCAAAAATTTGTTTCTCCCTCGCTGCTTTGTTTGTCAAGGCTCATATTTTAGAGCTACAAGGTTTAATTGGTAGATAACAAATGTATAATAGCAATTTAAAAAAACGAAAATAAAAAAAAAATTTGTTCAATACCTCAAATACTGAATGTTATTAAGTTAAAAAAAACCTGTATCTTATTGAGTTAAATTTAAAAAATTTATTATCTCCTTTTAACTATTTTTCACATAAAGATAGAATAGTTTGTTGCTTAACAAACATGATGCTTGCAGGCAACTCACACAAAATTAATGTCAAGTGACCACTTTATTCTGTTTATGCTTCAATATACAGTCCTTTTTCAGGAGAAGTGGTATCAAAAATGAGTCCCAGAATATATTCCAGAAATGCATATCATTAAAAGTTTCCAGGCGAGTATTTTTCTGCCCCTTATTAGTTCTACTGACATTTTGAGATTCTCTAATAGTTTATCTTTTGTTCTACCATTACCATACCATACATTTTTTACTACCATAAAAAATTACAAAAATGTTTTATTTTGTAATTTAAAATAAGAAAATAAATCAACAAATAATTTTTTTTTCATTTTAGTTTTAACTGATTAAAATCATACAGTTTGTGATTACAATAGAATCAGAATGTTTTAATGCCAGAGAAAATCTTCAAAAACTCTAGGAGTCAATCTTTGAACAATTCAGGATTTAAAAATATTTTTGATATTGTTTCAACAGACAGATTTATTTGTTAGAACAATTTGTTGAATTTTATCATCTATTCCCCATTCTAAATGTTCTTGCAAAAAGATGCTGTGGTCATCAAATATAAAAACAACAATCGATAATGTAAAATCTTTGATTCAATCAATCAATAATGTGCAATTCTTTGGTTGCAAGGATGTGCAATAGCACTTCCTTGTAGTAAACATTAAAATATTGTACAATATCCATTTATAATACTCTACAATATCCATTGCACAAAGGTAGAATGAGTTGGGGTACAATATCCAATAACAATGGTAGACTGTCTAACAAAGTTGTTGTAAAAGCAATTAATAGAAAAAATTAGACAAATAAATCAAAAATTAAATTCCAGCTAATAAAAATTAGGGTAAACTGGGGTAAAGTGAACTAGGGGTAAAGTGAACTATTTTTTTAAACTAAAAAGTTATCATGTTTAAAAAACTTTTTGTTAAGTAATTTAGCATTATTTTTGCTTAATACAACATTTTGAAATTTTTTAAATAAAAAAATTAATAAAATATAGCCTTTGTTTTGATGTAATAGCCATTTTAAAAAGCGAGTTTGGCGGAAGTTTTAAAATTACGATCTCAAACTTTGCTATGGGTTTTAGTAAATTCATGATTTGTTGTTATTAATGCGAACATCAGTTATATAATTTATATACATTTTAAAGATAATATAATGCTGTTAAAAAAAAAATTGTAGTTTTTATCATAATATAAAAAAGCTAAGCTTTTAGTTTGTAAATCAATTTAGTTCACTTTACCCCTTATTTTTCTGCCTATTGGGGGTAAAGTGAACTAGTCTTTTTCTTATGTTTTTTCATCAAATATTTTTAGTAGAACTGAATATATAAATTGTAATTACTTAACTAAATTGTTTACTCTTAAAATAAGTTGTTTTTTTTTTAAATATTCTTAAAATTATTTTCAGAAATATAATATATTGAAATAATGCCAAGAAACTACATTAAGAAAAAAGAATCTCGAAGAAAAACATATGCACCTAATTTGTTGCAAAATGCCATTTCGAAAGTTAAAAATAAAGAAATGACTTCGTATGCTGCATCAAAAGAATATGGTGTTCCAAGAAGTACAATTGCAAGACATCTTCTAGGCATAAAATGCTCAAAAGTTGGTGAAGGGCGACCAAACCGATTATCTGCTGATGCTGAAAAAGATCTTGTTTCACTTTTATCTGCATTTTCTGATTTTGGATTTGGATTAGATAAAAAACAATTTATGAAACTTGTTCAAACGTATATTGAATTGAACGGATTTCAGAAAAAATTTGTTAATGGTGTTGCTGGTGATCAGTGGTTTTGTAATTTTTTAAATCGTTGGCAGAAAGAAATATCTATAAGAACTCCAGAGCTTTTGACATTAACAAGAGCCTTAGCTTGTAATAAAACTGTAATTGATGCTTGGTTTTTATTACTTAAAGCAACATTGGAAAAATGTGACATTATGAATAGACCTGCCCAAATACTAAACTGCGATGAAAGTGGGTTTTGCACTAACCCAATAAATAAAAAAATTATTTGCAAAAGAGGTATTAAAAACCCTGTATCTATTGCTCCTGGATCAGGAAAAGAACAGTTTACTGTACTAGCAACAATATCAGCTGCAGGAAGAAATTTTCCTCCATTTATTTTATTTGCTGGGAAGAATTTGTATAAAGAGTGGATGACTGGTGGACCAAATGGTTCCTTATATGGGGTGACAAAAAACGGTTGGATGGAAACAGAAGTTTTCACTGAATACTTTAACCATCTTGTTTTATGGTTGAAAGACACACCCAAGCCTGTTTTGCTTATCTTTGATGGTCACATTAGTCATATTTCTTTAGAAACTGTTAAAAAAGCAGTTGAAAATCATATAACTATTTTGTGTTTGCCAGCACACTGTTCGCATTTGCTTCAGCCACTTGATGTAGGAGTCTTTCGCCAAGTTAAACATGTATGGCGTGAAATTCTGGCCAATTGGTATACCGAGTCAAGGCTGAAGGTGGTTGGGAAATCTGTTTTTCCATCTTTATTAAAAAAACTTTATGATACCTCCTTTAAGCCAGCTCATTTAGTACAATCCTTTGCCAAAACTGGAATTTTTCCCTTTGATCCATCTGCTATAGCATCTGACAAGTTAAATCCTTCTGAAATCTATGAACACCCTTTTTCTCAGAAAACAAATAACTATAATAATAACGTCCCTCAAAACATCGTTTTAGACACCAATGTCAATGATCAGAACGATACTTGTGAAAATTTTTCTATTGAATCAACAAATAAATACAATTCACAAAAAACTATAATATCAGTAGGAAAAGACTTAAACAATGAAAAAATAAATCAACTATCAATATCAAATGTAGATTGTTCTACTGGAAATAAAATCATTAGAGAAATAGTGAAAGAACAGTTAATGGCCACAAAGGGTGATGGTCGTTCATACAACAAACGACCTACAAAAAAAATAAAAAGACACTATGGAGGTGAGTGTCTTACATTAGAAGATGCATTTAAAAAATTAAATGATGAAGAAAACGAATGCTTTAAAAGAAAGATCAAGCAGCAAGGCAAAATACAAAATAAAAAAACTAATTTATTAGAAATAACAAACACAAAAGAGTTAAAGATGAAGTAGTTCACTTTACCCCAATGTGGGGGTAAAGTGAACTAGTGGACATGTTTTTTTTGAATATATATTTAATATTGTAAAAGTAGCTTTTAATCTTAGTATTTTGTTTTATATTGTACCTAATACTTTAAATGGTATAAATTTTGAAAACTGCAAAATGTTTTGGCTTTTATTTTGAAAATATTTCCTTTAAATATCAAAAACAGTTCACTTTACCCCAGTTTACCCTAAAATATGGTTGGTTACAATATCCCATAAAACTTGCCACGCAAACGTACTTTGTCATTAAGCTGTTTCCATAAATTCTTAATAGGATTTAGGTCAGCAGATTGTGCAGGCCAGTGCATAACATTAACTTTATTAGTTTTAAACTAAGCTTTAACTAGTTTGGATGTATGTTTTGGATCATTATCCTGTTGAAATGTTCACTTCAGAGGCATATTTTCTTCTACAAAAGGTAACATGTGATGTTCCAGAATATTGTTATGTATGTGTTTGTCCATTATTCCTTCAATGCGACATAGTGTTCTTAATCCAGAAAATCCTGAAAAGCACCCCCAAACTATCAAGCTATTGCAACCTCCGTGTTTTAAGGTTCCTATAGTGTATATTGGTTTCAACTGTTTACCAACAGGCCTTTGAACATTTCTTTTACCATCTGAACCATTCATGTTAGACTCATCTGACCATAAAATATTTCTCCACTGTTCTTTTGTCCAACTTTTATGAGTCTTTGCAAACTCTAAACTTGCTTTTACGGTTTTTCGCAGATATAAATGGTTTTTTTTGTTACACAATAACTATACAACCAGCTTTATCCAAGCGTCTTCTTACAGTACTTTCTCAAAGATTTAGATTAAATTCATTAATTGTATCTCTTTTACTAGCAAATGGGTTCTTTTTTGCATACCTAATAATTTTACGATCAGTATGTAGAGTACATTTTTTTGGCTGTCCACCTAAATGCTCAGTTTCAACAATTCCTTTTGTTTTATATTTATTAACCAATCGGCTTATAACTACTTTTGATGTTTCATACTTTTTACACTTTGTGTAGCTCCATTATTATAATCTTCAATGATTTTTTGTTTA